AGGAAGCTTTTGCTTCCTCCTCATTCTCTCTTGCCACTGCCATGTAAGAAGTACCTTTTGCCCTCTGCCGTGATTGTGAGACCTTCCCCAGCCACGTGGAACTGTTAAGTTCAATTAAACCTCTTTCTTTTGTATGTTGCCCAGTCTCGGGTATGTCTTTATCAGCAGCATGAAAAAGGACTAATACGGTAAATTGGTACCAGTAGAGTGCAGCGTTGCTGAAAAGATACCCAAAATATGGAAGCAACTTTGGACCTGGGTAACAGGCAGAGGTTAGAACAGTTTGGAGGGTTCAGAAGAGGACAGGAAAATGTGGGAAAGCTGGGAACTTCCTAGAGACTTGTCTAATGGCTTTGCCCAAAATCCTGATGACAGTGTGGATAATAAAGTCCAGGCTGAGGTGGTCTCAGATGGAAATGAGGAACTTGTTGGGGACTGGAGCAAAACTGACTCTTGTTATGTTTTAGCAAAGAGACAGCAGCAATTTGCTTCTGCCCTAGAGATTTGTGGAACTTTGAACTTGAGAGCGATGATTTAGGGTATCTGGCAGAAGAAATTTCTAAGCAGCAAAGCATTCAAGAGGTGACCTGGGTGCTGTTAAAGGCATTCTGTTTCATAAGGGAAGCAGAGCATAAAAGTTTGGAAAATTTGTAGCTTGATAATGCATTAGAAAAGAAAATCCCATTTTCTGAGGAGACATTTAAGCCAGCTGCAGAAATTTGCATAAGTAACTTGGAGCTGAATGTTAATTTCCAAGACAATGGGGAAAATGTCACCAGGGCATGTCAGAGTTCTTCAAGGCAGCCCTTCTCATCACAGGCTTGGAGGCGTAGGAGGAAAAAAGGATTTCTTGGGCCAGGCCCAGGATCTGCATGCTGTGTGCAGCCTAGGGACTTAGTGTCCTGTGTCCCAGATGCTCCAGCCATGACTAAAAGGGGCCAAGGTACAGCTCAGCCATGGCTTCAGAGGGTGCAAGCCCCAAGACTTGGCAGGTCCCAGAACCATCATTCACTGGCCTTGGGCAGGTGACCCAATCTCTTTGAGCATCCACAGAAGGGGATAATTGTTCATTTTACAAAACCCAAACCAAAGCTCAACAGCACTTGGCAGCTTCCACATGGTGTGGAGCCTGTGGGTGCACAGAAGTCAAGAATTGAGGTTTGGGAACCTCTGCCTAGATTTCAGAAGATGTATGGAAACACCTGGATGCCCAGGCAAAAGTTTGCTGCAGTGGCGGGACCCTCATGGAGAACCTCTGCAAGGGCGGTGCAGAAAGGAAATGTGGGGTCGGAGTAGAGTCCCTACTGGGGCACCGCCTAGTGAAGCTATGAGAAGAGGGGCACCATCCTCTAGACCGCAGAATGGCAGATCCACCAACAGCTTGTGCTGTGCACCTGGAAAAGCTGCAGGCACTCAATGCCAGTCCGTGAAAGCAGCCGGAAAGGTACCCTGCAAAGCCACAGGGGTGGAGCTGCCCAAGACCATGGGAACCCACCTCTTGCATCAGCATGACTCAGATATGCGAGATATGGAGTCAAAGGAGATCATTTTGGAACTTTAAGATTTGACTGCCCTGCTGGATTTTGAACTTGCCTGGGTCCTGTAGCCCCTTTGTTTTGGCTAATTTCTTCCATGTGGAACAGCTATATTTACCCAATGCCTGTACCCCCATTGTATCTAGGAAGTAACTAACTTGCTTTTGATTTTACAGGCTCATAGGTGGAAGAGACTTGTCTCAGATGAGACGTTGGACTGTGGACTTTTGGGTTAATACTGAAATGAGTTAAGACTTTGGGGGACTGTTGGGAAGGCATGATTGGTTTTGAAATGTGAGAACATGAGATTTGGGAGGGACCAGGGGTGGAATGATACGGTTTAGCTGTGCCCGCACCCAAATCTCAACTTGAATTGTATCTCCCAGAATTCCCATGTGTTGTGGGAGGGACCCAGTGGGAGGTAATTGAATCATGGGGGCCAGTCTTTCCCAAGCTATTCTCATGATAGTGAATAAGTCTCATGAGATCTGATGGGTTTATCAGGGGTTTCAGCTTCTGCTTCCTCCTCATTCTTTCTTGCCACTGCCATGTAAGAAGTGCCTTTCGCCCTCCACCATGATTGTTAGACCTTCCCCAGCCACATGGAATTGTAAGTCCAATTAAACCTCTTTCTTTTGTAAATTGCCCAGTCTTGGGTGTGTCTTTATCAGCAGCATGAAAACGGACCAATACAACTTCCCAGAGTTGCACAGTGTAGCAAGTCACTCCTGCTAAAGATGGTCAGCCACCTTCCTTTTCCCATCCTCAGTTCCTCTGCTCTAAAATGGGGATGAGACTGCTGGCTCACAGAGTGACTGTGCGGACTGAATGAAAGCATGTGTGTCCAGCACTAGCAGAGAGTGAGGACTGGCCCTGACTGTCACTGTCGGCACTTCCCACTGCTAATGCCCAGCCCTGGGCATAGGCCCAGCACAGAGCAGGATCCCTGGGAGAGGTGTCCACTGTGCAGGGCTGAGCAAGGAACCTAGTCCAGTGCCCTGGGAGCATCTGCGAACAGTTACCTAGGTAACTCCTGCCTCTTTACATCAGGTGCCTCTTTATATCAGCTGTTACTACCATTGCCTCAGTTCTGTATCTTCTGGCTGCTGGGTTATGACCGCCCTGTGCATGTGCACAGCCCTTCACAGTTGGCAGTAAGGGTTAATCAACTTAGGTGAAGAGGGCAGGGCAGAAATTGCCACCCTTTAGTGCAGAGGACAAGGCTGAGACTTTAAGAGGGTCAGCGAGAGGTCCCCTCTGGTGGGAGTGGGTTTGGGCAGTGTTTTGAGTTGCTGGTTATGTAAGTGGGAGCTCATACGAGGCCATTTGGCATTTCACGGACCCCTTGCATAATCACCTCTGGGAATCAAAGGGTAATCTTGGGGCCTTTGTGGTGTTTGTTTAAACCCCAGGAAGGGTGGTTATGAATGAGCAGATCAGCTTAGCAGGGGAGGTGGGGCCTTTGGTGGTAATGAGCCCTGCGGTGAGGAGCTCACCCAGGGGAACAAAGGGGGCCTGAAGCAACTTAATATTTTCCTATTGGTTCCAGACATTGGAACACTCTGTCCTGCCTTGGTTGGGACCATGCCCAGGATGCACCTGGGCTGGATTTAATCCTGAAATTGGCCTCTACAAAAGAAAGAGGTGGGAGAGGAGGGGCCTACATGGGGATGGGGGCAGGGGAGAAGAGTCCCACTTTTCCCTGCCCCTGGGCAAAGCCAGAGTGCAGATCAAGTGGCTAGCTCTTTAAAGTTTCATGCAGGGCTGGTAATATAATCCTGCTACTCCCTCCCCACCCACCTTCCAGTCTGGAAGGCGGGCAGGTCCCTGGCCCATCTCCTCCCCCTCTCTCACCTCCTTCCTGAAGGCCAGAGGGAGGGATGGGCAGGAGGGCAGGGGGCCCAGAGCAGGGCCACCCAGATGAAGAACCCTGCTAGAAGGAAGCTTAGTGCCTTCTGTCTCCCAGGCTGCAGGCCGCTGTGCAGGGCAGGGGTGACCACAGACTATCCAATTGGTCTAGTTAGAGGCTCCCACTGCCCAGCCCTCTGCTTCTCATGCTAGCACCACTGAGGACCAGCATCCCAGGAGCTACAGTGGACGTGAACACAGGCTTTGAATCCAACAGCAGTGGGTGGTGTGACCATTAGATGTGACAACACGTATGTAGCGCCTGGCATCTGTGGCAGCCACCACTGTAATTGTACAGAGGGAACTGAGATCTGAGGAGGGAAACTGGCTCATGCCATAGTATGTGTCAGTGGGAAAAGCCTCTCCTGCACCCTGCCTCTCCACCAGCTACTCTGCCAGTCCAACTGGAGGCAATGCATATGAATATAGGAATTGGAGTACAGCAGGCCTGGGTCCCATTCCTGCCCTGCATTTTACTAGTTTGGGGTAAAGCCCTATTCCTCTCTCAGCCTCTGTTTCTTCATCTGTATAATGGGGGAAGCAGCCTAATTGCCTGCCCAAGGTTAAAGGAGGCACGAAAGAGGTGTAGTAGCTTAATCTGCTGGGGGAAGGGTCAGGGTAAGGGAGAAAGGTGCTCGGGACAGGTGTCCCCAAAACCCATCTGGGAGTGTAGACACCTACGTTGGACACCAGGATGCCCAGTGAGAAGGGAAGATCCTGCCTCTGGATGACAGGCTAGGAGGACAGGGCAGGTGGAGTAGGGGTGTGGTGGGGTAGTCACTGCAGGCCCCATTACAGGGAGGGAGCCCTGGTCTTGAAGTCTGGAGTGTGGGTCTCAGGCCTGGCTCAGCCCCGGCCAGACCACAGCAGTGGGCGGTGCTTTGTCTGTCAGTGTCCCCTCTAGTGCCACTCCACTCTGTTGTGTGGCTGTCCAAAAGTGTCTTAACCTAAGGCCCAGTTCCCTTTTGGTAAAACAGAGAATTTTCTGCCTTGCAAGGGGGTCGTGAGGGTCAGATGTGACTGTGCTGTGGGGCAGCCAGAACAGCACCTGACATGTAACACTTACTCAGCAGAGAATGGGGCACCCTGGGCACACCCTACCCTCAGCCCAGTGGATGAGCTCCTCACCCTGGGGTCGGGGTCTAGACCAACCCAGGGACTCTGGACCATCAGAGCTGGAGAGGCCAGCCTGAGAAGGCGTCTAGTCTGGTGGGTTTCAAACTGGGTTTCCTAACACCCTAGGCAGGGATGGTGGGCAGAAGTGGAGGGCTTCAGGTCCCCCTCACTTCAGCCACACCAGGCCTGCTTTCATCTGCTGCTCTTGTTTAAGAAAGGAGTCTGCTTCTTCTAGTTGAAAATTCACCACCTAGCCTCACGCCCCTTTACCATACAGATGGAGAGGCAGAGGCCAGAGAGGAACTGGGTCTAGGAACTGAAGCATTCCAGGAGGTTGGGGCCTGTGACACCTTCCAACGGTGTCTAGACTGGGCTCGTGTTCTGTGCGGTGGGTTTAGACCATCTGGTGCATTCAGTCCTCACCCATGGCTCTCTTTCTAGCCCCCACCATGCCGTGGCCCCTGCTGCTGCTGCTGGCCGTGAGTGGGGCCCAGACAACCCGGCCATGCTTTCCCGGGTGCCAGTGCGAGGTGGAGACCTTCGGCCTTTTCGACAGCTTCAGCCTGACTCGGGTGGATTGCAGTGGCTTGGGCCCCCACATCATGCCAGTGCCCATCCCTTTGGACACAGCCCACTTGGACCTGTCCTCCAACCGGCTAGAGATGGTGAACGAGTCGGTGTTGGCAGGGCCGGGCTACACGACGCTGGCTGGCCTGGATCTCAGCCACAACCTGCTCACCAGCATCTCACCCACTGCCTTCTCCCGCCTTCGTTACCTGGAGTCGCTTGACCTCAGCCACAATGGCCTGACGGCCCTGCCAGCCGAGAGCTTCACCAGCTCACCCCTGAGTGACGTGAACCTTAGCCACAACCAGCTCCGGGAGGTCTCAGTGTCCGCCTTCACGACCCACAGTCAGGGCCGGGCACTGCACGTGGACCTCTCCCACAACCTCATTCACCGCCTCGTGCCCCACCCTGCGAGGCCCGGCCTGCCTGCGCCCACCATTCAGAGCCTGAACCTGGCCTGGAACCGGCTCCATGCCGTGCCCAACCTCCAAGACTTGCCCCTGCGCTACCTGAGCCTGGATGGGAACCCTCTAGCTGTCATTGGTCCGGGTGCCTTCGCAGGGCTGGCAGGCCTTACACACCTGTCTCTGGCCAGCCTGCAGAGGCTCCCTGAGCTGGCGCCCTATGGCTTCCGCGAGCTACCGGGACTGCAGGTCCTGGACCTGTCGGGCAACCCCAAGCTCAACTGGGCAGGAGCTGAGGTGTTCTCAGGCCTGAACTCCCTGCAGGAGCTGGACCTTTCGGGCACCAACCTGGTGCCCCTGCCTGAGGCGCTGCTTCTCCACCTCCCGGCACTGCAGAGTGTCAGCGTGGGCCAGGATGTGTGGTGCCGGCGCCTGGTACGGGAGGGTGCCTACCCCCGAAGGCCTGGCTCCAGCCCCAAGGTGGCCCTGCACTGCGTAGACACCCGGGAATCTGCTGCCAGGGGCCCCAATATCTTGTGACGAATGGTGTGGCCCAGGGCCACATAGCAGACTGCTGTCCTGGGCTGCCTCTGGTCCCGAGTGACTTATGTTCCATGTGCCAACACCAGTGGGGAGCCCGCAGGCCTATGTTGCAGCATCACTGCAGGAGTTGTGGGCCTAGGAGAGGCTTTGGACCTGGGAGTCACACCTAGCAGCAAAGTCTCGCCCCTTTGTCTACGTTGCTCCCCCAAACCATGAGCAGAGGGACTTCGATGCCAAACCAGACTCTGGTCCCCTCCTGCTTCCCTTCCCCACTTATCCCCCAAGTGCCTTCCCTCATGGCTGGGCCGGCCTGACCCGAGACAGGCAGAGGGTGGGTGGGACCCCCTGCTGCAAGGCAGAGTTCAGGCCCACTGGGCTGAGTGTCCCCTTGGGCCCGTGGCCCAGTCACTCAGGGGCATGAGTTTATTTTCTAACATAGCCCTTTCTTTGCCATGAGGCCGTGAGACCCACTTCCTCCTTTTCTATTTCCCTAGAACCTTAATGGTAGAAGGAATTGCAAAGAATCAAGTCCACCCTTCTCATGTGACAGATGGGGAAACTGAGGCCTTGAGAAGGAAAAAGGCTAATCTGAGTTCCTACGGGGCAGTGGCACGACTGGAGCACAGCCTCCTGCCTCCCAGCTGGGCCCATTGCACTTTCTTGTCTCCTCTAATAAGCCCCGCCTTCCCCGCCTGGGCTCCCCTTGCTGCCCTTGCCCATTCCCCATTAGCACAAGAGTAGCAGCAGCAGGACAGGCAAGAGCCTCACAAGTGGGACTCTGGGCCTGGTGACCAGCTGTGTGGCACGGGCTAAGTCACTCTGCCCTTCGGAGCCTCTGGAAGCTTAGGGCACATTGGTTCCAGCCTAGCCAGTTTCTCACCCTGGGTTGGGGTCCCCCAGCATCCAGACTGGAAACCTACCCATTTTCCCCTGAGCATCCTCTACATACTGCCCCAAGGAGTTGCTGCAGTTCTGGAGCCTCATCTGGCCGGGAGCTCCAAGGGGCCTCCTGGATTCAGTCCCCACTGGCCCTGAGTACGACAGCCCTTCTCACCCTCCCAGGAATGCCGTGAAAGGAGGCAAGGTCTCCCCCACCCATGTCTATGCTCGACCCCCAGGGTAGCATCTCAGCTTCCAAACCCTGGGCTGTTTCCTTAGTCTTCATTTTATAAAAGTTGTTGCCTTTTTAATGGACTGTCACTTTCAACCCGCCTCCCCCACCCCTGCTGGCCGGGGATGGAGACATGTCATTTGTAAAAGCAAGAAAAGGTTGCATTTGTTCACTTTTGTGATATTGTCCTGGGCCTGTGTTGCGGTGTTGGGGGAAGCTGGGCATCAGTGGCCACGTGGGCATCAGGGGCTGGCCCCACAGAGACCCCACAGGGCAGTGAGCTCTGTCTTCTCCCACCTGCCTAGCCCATCATCTATCTGACTGGTCCTTGATTTAATAAACACCATAAAAAGTTCTTTGCTTCACTCAGCCAGTGTCCACTGGCAATCCCTGGGCTGGGCTCTGGGGCCACCAAGATGAATCAGGTTAGGTCCTGCCCTGGGCAGCTTGTTCTCCCTGAAAAGCCTGATAATCTCAGGATTAAGGGAGTGACGTGAGGGAGGGAGTTCCTGCACCTTGCTCACCTCTTATCTCCCCCGGCCCTCCCCGCTGTTCCTGTCACCCCAACTCCAGCCATAGCCATGAGCATGCCAGGCAGGCCCTTGCACACCTGTTCTCTTGCTCAGGTGTTACTGTGGGACCTTGCCCTTGTCCTCACCCCTGTGTCTCAACCTCCTTCCCATCCAGTAGACCTAGTGCCTGCCGGTCCTCAGAAGCTTCCCTAGCCCCTCCCACCTCCCTCCTCTGAACTGCAACAGTATTTTGTTCTTCCTTGGCGCTTCAGCTGGTATGGTACCCCAGCTCCTGTTTACACACTTCCACTGACAGAGATCAGGCTTGCAGCGCATCTGGGTGGCTCTGCTGTCACCAAGTTCTTCCTTCTAACTGGCCAGTCTACAGGGAATGTCTACCGTCATCACCAATGGCAGGTTTTTCCTGATACCTACTCTGTGCCCAGAACATTCAGGCCATACGCACTGGTAGGGAGTTTGCCCATCTTGTAATCAGGCCTCCCCAGGGAGAAGTATCAACCTGAGGCCCTGGGTCCGAGGCTGGCACCCAGCGGTCAAGGTAGGAAAGGGCTGAGGCGTGGCGCGGGGCGGTGTGGGGGAGAGGGAGGTCAGGATGAGACCCCGGGCCCCCACAGTCCTCCTGTTCTCCACCTCCCCCACATTTCCTGGGACAAGAGAGGCTTCAGATGGAGGTAGGCATCACGGTACTTTCACCCACTGGGTCAGGGTCTTCCCAAGTCCCCGCTGTGGAAGGAGTCCTTGAGGGAGGGCCATGGAACAAAAAGGCCTTAAACACAGGGCCAAAGCGTGCGGAGGCAGCGAAGGGAAGGAGGGGGCTTCTGCGGCAATCAGTTCTGGAGCAGGTCACCTCCGGCCGAGCTGCAGCTTCCTCTCTGCAAAACGGGGCAGGGTGAAGGCCCAGTGAGAGCATGGGCGTGGATGCCATCACGCTGGGCGGGCTCGTCCTTCCCGGTGGGGAACCTGCCCTGCACCCTGCAACCCTGGCCTCCTGCCAGCCATAAGGAGAGTGGAAGCTTCGGCGGGCCTAGCCGACCCGGGAGTCCCCGCGCCCCTCCTTCCCCTTGCGGAGACTCCCGGCCCGCAGCGCCACCTCGTGCTCACGCATGGCCAGACACCCCAGGTCCCCCCGGGGCCGGGAGCCAGGCCCAGGGCGGCTGCAGAACAAAGTGGGCTGTGCTGTTTGCTTTATGAGTCCAGTCCCTCCCCGCCCGCCGCACTACCCTCGCCCTGCCGTACTCCACCCTCCAGGAACCCTGGTGCTCAGGGCGAGGGCCTTCGAATCTTACACAATCAGGAAAATTAGTGCAAAGAATCCGTTTTGGAATTCACAGAAAAGGGTTGAAATCTTGGGTTCATCACTAACCAATTGTGTGATTTTTGACCAGGTCGCTTTACTTCTCTGAACCTGGAAAATAGGGATGAAAATATCCCCCTCAAGGCCGGGCACGGTGGCTCCTGCCTGTAATCCGAGCACTTTGGGAGGCTGAGGCAGGAGGATCGCTTGAGCTCAGGAATTCAAAACTAAGACTAGCCTGCGCAACATAATTTAAAAATTTAAAAATTAACCGGGCATGGTGACAACGCCTGTAGTCCCAGCTACTTGGGAGGCTAAAGTGGGAGGATGGCTTGAACCTGGGAGGTTGGGCTACAGAGCTAGACCCTGTTTAAAAAAAAAAAAAAGAAAAGAAAAGAGAGAAAAAGACAAAAAAGAAAGAGAACGAAAGAAAGAGGAAATGTCTACTTGATCCTGGGAGGTTGAGGCTGCCGTGAGCTGAGATTGTACCACTGCACTCCAGCCTGAGTGACAGAACTAGACCCTGAAAAAAAAAGGAAGGGAGGGAGAAAGGAAGGAAGGAAGGAAGGGAAAATAGCTCCCTCCACAGGACTGTATGAAGAAGAAATGAAGTAACATTTGTAGAGAACCAAGTACTGTGTGCCTGGCACAAAATGACAGCCTGTAAGTGCTCTTTCCTGCCCTCATCCAACTTCATAGAGCCTCCCGAGTAGCTGGGACTACAGGCTTGCGTCACCATGCTCAGCTAATATTTTATTTTTTAGTAGACAAGATCTCGTTTTGTTGCCCAGGCTGGTCTTGAACTCCTGAGCTCAGCTTCATAGAGTTATGAAGTAGATTACAGAGCCATGTAGTCTGAGTCCGTTTGTATAACTGTCACTCAGAACTGAAGAATTTTGTAAAGTTCTGGTACTGTAGAATCACAGAACAACACCTGGTAATCCACAGGGTCATGGAGTAGGTACTCACCATCAGCTGTGGCCCAGTTCACCACCCTGGGTCAGCAGGGTCACCAATCTCTTTCTGCTTTTCATAATAATGCAGAGGCCAGCTATGGTTATGTGTTCCTCATGCTTTGGGTACATGCCATCATCTCCTCACAACTGCACCAGGTTTTTTGTCACCATACAGATGAAGAAACCAGCATAGGCCAGGCTTTATCTGTCAGATGGCAATTCTCACATTCTTCCTTGTCCTACCCCAGGGTCCGGGCCAGATGTGTAAACCCCATGAATCAGAGAGGGTAGAGGTGCACTGAGAGACCAGAAAGCACTGGGATTCCATTGCTTTTTCATTTTCAAATAAATTGGAGAAGTTAATGCAGTTCTACATAGCTCCAATCAGACTGTTGACTCTAGATCTTAGAGTATAAAAAGCCGAAGTTCAAAGTTAAAGTCCTTTCTCTCCTGGCCCCTTTTCACAGATGGGGAAACTGAGGCCCAGAGACAAGTAAGTTGCCATGGTCCATGGCCAAGATTCTGTGCTTCAGAACTGCCTGTGTGATTTGTGGGACCCAGTATAAAATGAAAATGTAGGGCCCCTTGTTCGAAGTTATTAGGATTTCAAGATGACAAGAACAGAGCATTACACCAAGCACAGGGTCCTTCTATGGTTTCACTGCCCAAGAAGCCAGCCCTGCTGCGATTTGATTATCTCATTTCTAAAGGAGGGGCAAACACCCAGACAGTGTTGGTCAGGATGGCAGAAGAGAGTAGGTGTAGATTTGTGTGTAATCCAATCCCTCTGTAGTTCAGGGAGCCAATGAGACTCTTCCAAATTCAGAAATGTCCCTCTGTTGTTATCACACAACCCCCTGGTTTTCCCAAATTGTCATGGCCAAAAGGCTTTCAGAGGGAAAAGGCGGCTAAAGAGGTAGATTCTACCATCCAGCTGCCACCAAACCAGCTCATGAGCTGTTTCTCTGGACTGCCAGGAATATGGCGGGCAGAGGCCTACCCCTTGCTCACTTTATGTGCTTACAGAATTTAAAGTCCACCAGTGCTAACGCCCACGCATACCTAATCTCCACCAAGGGCAATGTCTATGATGACAGAGGTCATCACAGGCTAATAGGACCTTGCCCATCAATGTTCAGCGTTCCTTGTTGGCTAACGTTCACCAGGGTGCAAATATTGATTGATATCTAATGTTTATCATATGAATGATAGCTTCCACCAATGACCAATATCCACAAAGGGAAAATGTCTGTTGGAGGCAGTGTCCACTGTATATCAGTGCCCAGTGTTCACTGGTAGCTAATTGCAATTATACTTGCTCTGTGCATCAATACCCAATGTCAGTCCATAGCTCAGCTTCTAACGACAGCAAATGTCTATCCAGTTAAGTCACATGCCCTGTGTTTATTCTTCTCTTTATTTATTTAAGTACTAGTGGTTCTGTCTACAGGGATTATTGTGTTTGTTGAGCTTGGAGGGAAATTCCTGTGTGTTTATTCTTTAGTTCCCAAAGCTATTTATTATTTTCTTTTGCATATCCATTAGATAGTCAAAGTGTTCTGAACTGGAGGTACAAACACATTTATGTTTCTTTTTGTCTTCCTTCCTTCCTTCCTTCCTTACTTCCTTCCTTCCTTCTTTCCCTCCCTCCCTCCCTCCGTCCCTCCCTCCGTCTCTCCTTCCCTCCTTCCCTCCTTCCCTCCTTCCCTCCTTCCTTCCTTCCTTCCTTCCCTCCCTCCCTCCATCCCTCCCTCCTTCCCTCCTTCCCTCCTTCCCTCCTTCCCTCCTTTCCTCCTTTCCTCCTTCCTTCCTTCCTTCCTTCCTTCCTTCCTTCCTTCCTTCCTTCATTCCTTCCTTTTCTTTTTTCAGGCTCTCATTCTGTCACCTAGGCTGGAGTGCAGTGGTGTAATCATAGCTCACTGTAGCCAATCTCCCTTGCACAAGCAAGCCTCCTGCCTCAGCCTCCCGAGTAACTGGGACTATGGGCTTGCATCACCATGCTCAGCTAATATTTTATTTTTTAGTAGACAAAGTCTCATTTTGTTGCCTAGGCTGGTCTTGAACTCCTGGGCTCAAGAAATCCTCCCACTTCAGCCTCCCAAAGTATTGAGATTACATACGTGAGCCACTGTGCCCTGCCATGTTTCTTTATATATGCACATATGTGTATATAACATATAAATAATTGCATATATGACACAGGAAGACACAGAAATAATATATACATGATACAGGAAGACACAGAAAAAGAGAAACTAGTTTTTACCAGAAGTATCAACTCAGGAACAATTTTCTAATTAGCTGAGCCTCAGAAGCAACAACTTTTCAAAGTGAAGGGATGAATGGAGGTGCCAGCCCTCTTGCTCAGGTTATGAAAGGCAAAGAGCCCGGCTTTTGGCTGTAAAAAGCCAGGTTCCCTAATCAGGTGAAGGCCCGAGGCGGGGACACCTTAGGGCAGTGTAACTAGTAGCCAAGGCACAGGTTCCAAAGGGAGGTTGCCTGGGCTCCAGCCTGGCCCTGCCACTCACAGCTGGGTGTCCCGGGGTGAGCTGCTCAGCCCCTCATTCACCCT